TTCAGCAAAGACGTAGCGCTTTCAGCCACATCTCTGTCGACACAGAGACCACAGTGTCTACAGTCCATCACTGTCTCAGTCAGAGCTGCCTCCTTTGGTACAAGATGATCTTTCTGCTCGGTCTGCTTTGCTCCATCTGGGGAGAACCTGCTCAGAGTCTGGAGGAGCACAGAGGTTTCAACTTTACAGAGGATCTCCGTCAGCTCGCTGTGGGTAACAGCTCTGTTTACATCGCTACAGAGGAGAATCTTTACCAGCTGAGCCATGACCTGACTCTGATCTACAGCCTGACCCAGAGAGGGATCTTAAAGAGAGGGGACCAACCGGATAAAGAGGAGTTTTACAGAGACCCCATGAAGAAGGCCTGGAACACAACTTTCAGAGTTAATGTTTTATTACCATTTGTTAAGAATGACACATTGATCAGCTGTGGTGTGACTGGAAACAAACTCTGTGGTTTCTGTGAAGTTCTGGACCTGAAGAACATCAATAAGCTGGTTTACAGTGAACACATCCAGGTGGGACCTCAGAGGAGCAGCAGTGGGTCTGTCAGCTTTCTGGTGGATGTGAAGAAGAATTCAGGTCAGACTGAGACTTACATTCTGACAGCGATAAAGAACCATAGAGACAAGACAGAGGAGGACAGGTGTGGGACTGATTTAAAGACTATCAACCTTCAAAACACCAATCAAAACCAGTCTGGGGAAATATTTTCCTGGTCTGATCAGTCAGGTGATAAACCTGGGATCCAAACTGAAGCTGATGTAGATTTTGTGGACGGATTCCAGATCAACTCAACAGTGTATCTGTTCTCCAACGTGGCATCAGGAGGTGAAACCAACAAAGTCCGTCTCATCTGGCTTCAGGCTGAAACCAGTAAAAGTGACACTCTGAAGTCTCTTCGTGGAGCGACTCTCAGTTCCTCTGGAGGTGAAGGCAGCAGACTGCTGGCCTCCTCGGTCGTCCCAGGTGGTCAGCAGGTCCTGTGGAGTGGAGTGTTCAGTGTGGATAAAGGAGGAGAAAACACTGAGCTGCTGCTGTTTGACATCAGTCCTGATCTCAGCAGGGAGATGAATAAAGATCCAGACTTTTATACATCAGTGAACAAGCCAAACAACCCAGTAAGTCACTGTATTAAACATAACCTTGTAATGTTGCTGTTTTACATGTAAAGTTTCACTGAGTCCTGGATGACTGAGAATCTTCAGTATTTTACATGTCTGAACTGAAACAGACAGAAAATTCAATTATGAATGATTGGGTAATTTATATTTAAAAATATAGAGATTGGTATTCATTTATAGATCAGTCCAGTCCACTTTTTCAATAACTATAATTAAACTGAGTTGTATTTTCTTTCCACAATTGCAACAATTGTGTGAAAAAATTGTGATAAACTTGAATATGTGTATTAATATGGGTATATTAATACATATACATATGTCATATAAACATATGTTTATATGACATATGTAAAAAGACAAAAACACTCAAAAAAAAAATATATATATATATAGGCTATATATATATATTTTTTTTTTGAGTGTTTTTGTCTTTTTACATATGTCATATAAACATTTAAAACTAAGCTGATTTAAAATGGACCCAAACCTTCTGTATTGCAATTTATAAAACTATATAAATTGTATAAATCTTCTCTTAGTTAATAAATTAGAGACAAAATGTTGAAACGATTCTCTCTGTTCCTCAGTCAGTTCGGCTCCTGAAACCAAAGGTTGTGCTTTTGAAGCAGAACTTCATGAGTTCTGTTCTGGCTGTCAGGCTGAACAACTGGATGGTTTTCTTCATTGGAACAGCAGATGGACAGCTCATCAAGGTGGGTGGGAAACTAACAACTGGAGGAAAGAAACAAACTCTGAATTTGTCACAGTAAAGTCTAAAACTGATGAACAATTGTGACTTTAGTTAATAGTACAAGAATGAACGTATAGAGTGTTTTTGACATGTAAATTATGTTTGTAAGTTTTCCGTGTTGCGTAGTTTCATACTGTTAAAGCATAGACATTTAACAGACGTGTTAGGTGTAATGAATGGGATCTATGTAATAGACTTCAATATGTACTGTGTACAGATTAATCTATTATTAAAAAACATTGTAGTCTCCAACAGGTTTTCTTCCAGGAGCGCCCTGTAATGAGATCCATTTATATTCCCATCAACTCACATTATATCATGATGCTGCCACCACTTTGTCTGTCAAGGGAAAGATATGAGATTTCTGTCACACATTTTGTTCAAAGGCCAAAAATGTACATTTGATCTCATATGACCTGAGAGCCTTTTTCTACAGGTTTGCTGTAGTCTCTGAAAATCAAGTTTCAAAAATAGTTTCATCTGGCCACTTTCCTAAAAAGGTCAGATTTGTAGTGGTCATGACAAATGATTGTCCTGCAGCAGATTCTCTCACTTGTTCTGTGAATCTCTGCATGTCAATTTTCATGATATTTCATTCACAATAGGCCATTTATACAAAACTGAGATCAACTGTGAGGAAATCAGTGTTCATGACTGACTCCTAGTTTACCCTGACATCATTGATTCATGTTTTTTATGTCAATGATTAAGTAATTGAGTTATTGGCGTAATGTTTTCATCCATCCATCCGACCCTGTTTCTTTGATACATCTCGTACCTCTAACCTACACTGTTGTTGTTGTCATCAGCTTTCTGTGGACAGGAAGTACCAGCCCTCCTGTCCACAGATCCTCCTCAGAACCAGTGGAGACAACAAAGTGTTTCCAAATCTCCAACTGGATCCAGTGGATCACAAACATCTCTATGTGCCGTTTAAAAACCAGGTAGATTGGAGCTTCTTCATGTGGCGTTCACTTACCCTGCCTGTTGATGTGTTTCTGAAACATGGTGTTCTGCTCCAGGTTCAACGTGTTCCAGTGTCAAACTGCAGAACTTACCAAAATGTGAAGGGTTGTCTTTCTGCCCAGGATCCATTCTGTGTCTGGTGTGTCTCTGAGAAAAGGTCAGAGAAACTTCATCTCAGCTCCATCCTTCATCTCAACTCTATGATGACACATTTACATTTTTCAGCTGCTCATTCAAAGACGACTGCAGAGGTTCAGAGAGGCTGTCCATCCCTGATGAATCCAAGCAGGAAATAGTTTCTCACAGATTTCTGAAGGACTCCACAGGAGAGGTGAGTTATTAATAAATTTATGACTGTTTTCATCTGGAACTATCAGTTATTATCATCTTATTTTTGTTCTTTTCTCAGATGAAAATAATCATCCAATCACACCTGACTATAGAGAAGAAGGTTCAGTCTAACTTCACCTGTGATTTCTCTACAACCTCCACCCAGCTTTGTAAAAAACAAGGACCAAAACCACAGTACCCACAATGCACCTGCATTCTCAATGACCCCTTACCTGCTGATGGTCAGTGATGGTCAGGATGTCTTTAAACATTTTGTTCCAGCTGTTAAAGTTACATACTTTATCTTTGATTTTCAGGTCTTGACGTTACCATGACGATCAGACTTGGAGACACATCTCTGTCAGAAAAAATAAAGATGATCAACTGTTCCAGTATCCAGGGGCAACCAAGTTTTCACCTGTAAGTTCATTTATGTTTTAGAATACAGATTTAATAACAGCTGATATCATCATAAAGTCGAACAGTATAATATAATTTCAGTGTTTTCGTAACAACATGGAGGTCTACTCTGCATTAAATCTGAATAATACACATATTGTTGCTGATATTTAAATCTGACTGATTACATGTTGGTAAAATCATCTGTTTCCTTTTGTAGCTGAAAGGAAAATATTAGTGTTGAATCCTGAGAAGCTTCATTCTGCTCAATGTTTCATTAACATGAATGATGCATTATTAGTGCAGCTTGTTGTTTCTAAATGAATCTGTATCAAGTGTTGTAATGTTTGAGTAAAGCTGAGATCAAACTGGCCTGTTTTCTGTCCAGGTGTCAGCGGTGCATCAGAGCAGGATGTGGATGGAGACAGAACAGCTGCTCCTGGGCCTCTGATGCAGTCAGCAACGTAATCATGAAACATTTCATGATTTCATGAAATTTAGAGAAATTTCTTCTCAGATAGTGCATGATAGACATAATTACATTTCTTAATTACATAATTACATTAACCTCTATTGTATCTTCACTCTAAAAAGAAAAAAGTTGAACCAACTT